TGTTTACCTTTCATATGATTAAAAATTGGCGGTACACAAAAAAGGAGAATTTGAAAGACAAGCTAAAGCAGGTTGATCCAGTAAGTTCATGTGGTATTTTGCATACACTTTTCGTTTAACTATTCGCCTTGTCGTTCTGTTATTGACTCCTAGTATTAATAGCATTTTAACATAACATGTGATTGGGATTTTGAAATCCTCATATTACCCTGAACCGGATAATGATACCGTTAGTGGTGCTTTTTGGTATTCCTAAATTTTCTTAATATTATGTGTCTTGTGATGTCGTCTACCTGTCATTAATTTCGCGAACGGTCATTTTATTACAATGAACATTTTTGAATAAAATCATCACTGGGACATTTCCTCGGTTCACGGAGAATAATTTCGACTAAAAGTCACTAAAGTTACTTTTTTCGAGAAAATGTTCACTAAAGTGACATTTTTTAAACCACCAACATTTATTTTGGATTCAAACTATCTGTATTACTATCAATTAACCGTGATTTTAGATAACTTTTCACCTGAACCATTTAGATATTCGCATCATTTTGATTGCACCGAATACTCATGTTATAATTCCGATTTTTGGTCTATTGGTGGAGCTATAAAGAAATGTAAAATTCAAAGAGGTTTTATCAATGCAATTAGATGTAATACCAAATACCTAAATAAGAAGGAAATCTCTTGGTTTTCAGTGCTTCTAGGTACAAGGCAAGATCCGTTTTTAAATGTTGAATATATGTCAACTGAAAAATCAAAACTTAATGCGGGTTTTGAACAGGCTCACTGGGAAATATCTAAATGTAACTTTATGAATACTTTTAAGTGATATTAAAAACTTCAAAAGCATTTTTTTTTTCTGAAAGATGTCCAAAAACTTATTTTGAAAACTTGAGGGAGACTTTCCCTTTTGATGATGTGCATTTTTGTAAAAGAGAGCAGACTCAAGTTTTCATATGATTTTTAATTCTTTCGAGCCTCTCCAGTGATATAAACATTCCTAGAAGTACGTTTTTCTGCAAATTACCAGGAAACGCTTGGGTCCATCGCTAAAAATCTGCTATTTATCAATTGTATCTAGATGAACGCGTCATTGAGACGGTACTAATGAATATTTTTGGTCGCTATTGAAAATTTAGTCGATTACTGAATTTATGTATGGGCCCAAATTAGGGACATTTAGGCCGACATTACATCCATTTCCCCTACCTGATCCTTTTTTTATGATATGCATTTGAATATTAATGTTTACATACATCCCGGGATTGATTGTGTGATAATTCTGGAGGATGAGGTCTCCCTAAACAGAGCTTTATTTTTGACACTCTATTTCAGGATTATGTGTGTATAATCATTTGAGGATCAAATCTCCCCAACAACTTCAAATCATATTGTCTGGAGACATTCAAATTGGCTTTTAATAAATTATATTATGAAGATTTAAAACATCTGATGGGGCTATCAATTTATAAGGGTAACAGTGCATACAATTCATTCCATACACAACAATACAACGAACTTGAATGATCAAGTTGGTCATTATAGTTTAACATTACTGCCCATAATCGCATATCAGTCCCATCTTTGCTTGATTTCCTATCCATATGGGACTGATATCCGATTATGGGTAGATTAAGGCTCAAGACACCGTCACTCAATTCGGATTCTTCTTGTGTTTGAAATATTCTTCAATCATCATCATTAGTTTACACATACATTCACACACAAGCCATCCGAAAATTTAAAGCAAGTATTTCATGATTTTACATCGTATATTTTCTGGGTAAAAAACCATCTGTATTTACTTACTTGTGTTCTTTGTAGCATTTCGCAATTTCACGTAATCGAATACATAAAATTAATATAAACTGGAGGTCAAATCTCTTGGTGAACAAAATAAAACACCAAGAAAATCACTTCGACTCCACTTCTTTGCTAGCGAACCCAAAAGAATCATTGAACAAGCGTTGCCAGATGAATTACCTCTAGCAGTGAATATAAGTTTATTTAAACAATTATTTCGGGAATAAAATTTCAGACACCTTAAAACCTCCAAATTTCGATTAGAGTCGTATTTACGGAAATAAATCGATTTAATGATTTTCATACCCGCCAGCCTAAAAATAGAGGGTTGGGGCATTATTTTTTTTTTTGAAAAAATATTCTCACACATCGAGATTTGGAGGGTTTTTTTACCAAATCTCGATTAGAGCCGTATTTACGGAGATAAATCGATTTAAAGATTTTGTGCAACTCCTTCGATGCTAATGCATCGCTAACAGGGAAGATTGCAGCATTGCACGTAGCCTGTTATTGGCTTTGTGTGACGTCACGTTTGCTGTTGTATTGAAAAGTAAAATAATAAAAGAGATGGTAGATTTTGCTCACCATACCAGTTGATATTTATGATTCATTGACTGTTTCGAATTTTACCAATACTTTTAGAAAGTGATGATTTAGGAATACAAGAAGAAGTAGCAAAAGCAAATCGATTGATGGTTACTTGCCTCTTAAAACTAATTTATGTTTAATTTTGAAAAAAAAAATCTAGTAGGGGAAATGCAGGTAATGTCGGCCTAATTTGGGCCCATACATAAATTCAGCAATCGACTAAATTTTCAATAGCAACCAAACATATCCATTAGTAACGTCCCAATAACGCGTTCATCTAGATAAAATTGATAAATAGCAGATTTTTAGCGATGGGCCCAATCTTAGATCCATAGGCCAACAGAGACATTTCCCCTATCTGACGTAATTTAGATGTTTAACTCTAAACGGTTTTACTGACTCGAGGTCGTTCCTTAAGCGGTGTTGGTACAGGTTAAACCTTTGCCGACTGTCGGATTCAACGCGCCTACGTCTACGGTCAAACGCTTTTGAGCTTATGTAGTATAGAATTTGTTCGGTGCGGTCGCGAAATCTTGAAATGATTGATACGTTCTTTAAATTAACTAATTTGATACAAAGCTCCGTAGTAAATAAGAAGAATATCTAGGGAGGAAACCAAAATTAATCAACTTGCCAACATAGGCTATCACATTTATTTTGGTGGCACTCTTTAAATGATAATAAGCCTTTTTTCACGCTTCGGTTTTCTCGCACGGCTTTCGGAATTCGCGCGGTTTTCGTAACTTACATAATTTAGATATTTCGTTCGAAACCGATTTACTTATTCAATCGGTTTAATACGCGGATGTATCTACGCGCACACGTCACAGCATTTTTTCTATAACTACATATCTTGAAACAATACACACGGAATCCAGTGTTCAAGCGGCCAACATAGGCTAGTCCTTCTGCTGTATTGTCAAAGATAGAAGCAAAATTTATTCAAATGGGTCAAGTCTTTAAAACTAAGCTGTCACGCAGCTCCAGCTTGACACAAAAAAAAAAATTAAATTTGAAAAAAAAATCTAGCTTTAAGTAAAATTTCATAAAACTTATTAAAAGATTGTATAATTTTAATAACTCTTGAAAAAAATAACTTTAATAGTAGGGACTTTACAGTAGTTACCTAACTTTCGGCAAAAGGCTATTTATGCCTACGCTTATACTGGTGCTATTTTTGCCTCATATAGTACTGATCATCCTGCCCCATAAGTAGAAAATTGCGCTTGAAAAATTGAAATTTTGTCATTTGGGACTTGATTTGTTAAAAAAAAAAAGTAAGAGGTTGTATCCAAGACATGCGTGCTCGGTATCAATATTCGACGACTGTGTTAGAGAAACCACTTTTTCCCATGACAGAAACGCCTCGTTTTCTGATGACAATTACGCATTTTGGTTTACAAAACGCACGGAATTTTTAGTTTATTCAATAGATAATGAAAAAAGCGAAAATTGATTGAAGTAATTTCTTGCTCAAATTTTCCAATTGCGAGATATTTGTGATCAATCATTTAAATTTGAGATTTTTTTGCTTTTTTCTAGCGTCCTGGAGAAAATCTTACCTTAATTCGAAGTGTTTCTTGTTGATTGACAAGGTCATGTGGTATTCGGTCATTGCGAGAATTTGTATGTACCACTAATACTGTTACGCATCGGATCACAAACTTTTGGTCGCTGGGTACATTATCGAAGAGCTTTGGGGTGATGTGGCTGGCAGCAAGGCGAGCGAACGTTAAATGAAAATTAACTCTTAAACAACAATAATTTATGGTGGTCCTGAAAAGAACTTAGCTATTACGGATGAGGCTAGCTAAAATGAGGGTGACGCGCTTGGCATAGATGGTCCACAGCGACTTACGAAGAACTACTGAATCCGAACAGTAGCGGTGCGGCTTCTTCCTCCTTCTTCGGTGAATCGAGGGCTCTTGAAGGCAGCCTTGATGCTTGCGGGGAGCCTTTCGTTATGTACTGGAGAAAAATGTACACCGCCACGCGCCAAAATCACTGCTGCTGCTGCTGCTGCTGCTGCTGCTGCTGATGATGATGATGACGACCGTACACCACCACTCACCACACGCGGTGATTGAATAAACATCGTTCGCCGAGACTGGATGGAATTCGATTTTGAAATTTGTATTAGGGAAAGCGATTTTTGCAGGCAATCGGTGATAATGTTGATCACCATTGCAACAGTTGAACATTTGTGTAATTTTCAATAGTGACCTGTTGAAAATTGATAAAGTGTTCATTTTAGCAGATTTGTAGAAAAATTTCCAATCAATTAGCTTGTTTAGAATTAAAATCCAACCGGTTTTTATTAGAGTTATAAGTGTTCAAAACCTGACCACTTTTAGTAACGTGCTCGATTTTGTTTTCTTATATTGCACCTCCAACATGTTGCCGAAAGACGTAATCCTACGACAAAACTTTTATGAATTTGATAATTTTGGGCTGTAAGGAACAACTTGTTTCAATATCGTTTTTGTTTCAAGACGCATTCCAAAACAGCAACAACAAAAAACTTCTGGAATAGAAAGACTAACTAGAACCTAATACCGAATAACCATAACTAATCACACATTATTATGTTTTCAATCCCATTTCAGATTTTTTTAAACAGTTGCTCACCGAATCGAAAGCTGAGTTCCATGCAATGTTCAAACGAACGTACGGAACCATCTACGAGCAGAATGCGTACGTCTTTGCCGACCTGTTCACCGAGTTGGAGCGATACTATGCCAATGGCAAGGTGGATTTAGGGGAAGCTATGGATTCGTTCTTCAACGTTCTCTACCAGAAGATGTTCACCGTCCTTAATTCACAGTATTCGTTCAACACAAAGTGAGTGCCGACTGTTGCCTGGAGGTATTATCATGAATTTTGAATTGTTCTAATTGTTTCCATCTGCCTTCCAGGTATCTTGGCTGCGTTAGCGAGCATATGAAAGAATTGAAACCATTCGGTGATGTCCCCGATAAGCTCTCGGTGCAGATCAAACGGTCCTTCGTTGCGACACGTACCTTTGCTCAGGCGTTAAACTCAGCTGCCGAAGTAGCTAAGAATATGGTGAATGTAAGTTGCGCTCCTCCGCCACCGCAGGCAAACAGAGATGTGTAATTGCTCTTGCGAGCGTGTTAAATTATGTTCGTCTCTTGAAAAGCTGACGATATTAAGCATTAAAAGCACAGACTGTCTGTGAAAGCAAATAAAAAGCGGCATCTTATTTGCATTTCCTCTTTTCTTCTATGTGTCTTTGCCCTGCAGGTACGGTTAACAGCTGAGTGTACGGCAGCGTTGACAAAAATGAGCACATGTAATACTTGTGCTGGGTTTCTGGAGAAGCCGTGCTCGTCCTACTGTGTAAACGTGATGAAGGGTTGTCTGCAGAATTACCTGGAACTGGATGCCGAATGGGACTCGTTTGTGGCCACGATGGAGCGTGTTTCCGATCGACTGCTAGGACCGTTCAACATTGTGATGGTCGTTGAACCGATCAACATTAAAATTTCGGAAGCCATAATGAATTTTCAGGTTTGCATACTTCAATTCATTCATTAGTGTTGTAATGTGTAATTATTTCCTTGTACTGTCCACAGGAAACTGGCCAAGACATTTCCAATCGAGTGTTTCAAGGCTGCGGAAAACCTGCGCTTGGCCGAAGACGGAGATCGACTAATCTGGTACCGCTGGTCGAACCAGAGCTCATTAGAAATAGGCGAGAACTTCAAAGCAAAGACCGAATGCAAGATGATAGCGATATTTTCATTTTCGATGATGAATCCTCCATTATCAACGAGAAACAGATAACGAAAAGATCCGCACAGGATTCCTCCAGTCAGGAACTGAAGTACGAACCAGTGCAGTTTTCCAATGGGGAAATCCAATTCACTAACAACAATGGTCCACCTAGTCATCATCAAACCCCAACCGCCAACGCAAATACAAATAGAAGCAATAGGAGGAAAAACAATCGAAAGCAAACTGACGATGAAGATAATACGCGAGAGCCAATCGATCGGTTGGTAAAAGACATTCGTCAACGAGTGAAAGACTCGAAACGGTTCTGGTCCAACCTTCCTTACATGCTGTGCAACAATGAGGAAGTAGCCGCCTCCCCGAGTAGTGACGGTAGTTGTTGGAATGGACATACCGTTGACCGGTAAGCAAAACCGTTTGGCTGAATACATTACTGTGGTGTTCAACTAATAGATTTTTATTTTCCAGATACCTCCATGGGATCGCTTCTGAGTCGGAGAAAAATCCCGAATTCCCAAACCGGTCTGCTGGTAGTAGGCAAAGTGCAATAGTGCAACAGCAATTGTTCACACTACGTACTGCCATTAGCCAACTAAGGAATGCTTACAATGGGCACGACGTCGAATGGACAGATCAAGGTGGGTTCATTTTTCTTATGCTGATAATCCTATCCACCATGTTTGTATTTGATCAGGGTATCGACTATCTGCAAAAACCTGTAAAATCAGGCAACTCAATTTTAGTCCTGGAAATCATGGAATCTCAGGGAGTTTTTTTTTAAACAGGGAAATATTTGTCAATCCTGTCGGAAAAGTATTTCTGATCTCGCTACTACTGTGGTTTGAGGATATTTGTAAATTAATCAAATCTTTAATAGATTTGTGAGCTTGTGGATGCTCAAATTAATGATTTAAAACGTGACATTTGGGTAAGTTGAGCAGAAAATTGCTTAAACAAAGAGCATAACCTTCTTTAACTGGATATGTAGTAAAAATTGCAGATGCTTTACTGTAAAAACTGTTAAAATCCTATCAATTTACACGCTGCATTACTGTCCGTGAGATTCTGTTTGGAGAACTTAATTTTGATAATTATGGGCCTAAATGATCAATAAAAATGCATCTCTGAGGTGACACGTCCCTGAGTTGAAGTGGGATACAGAGGGTCGGTAAACATCAATTTACATTTTTGAGTAGAGCTATAAAGGCATGGTATTACCAAGCCGTAGACGAAGGGGTCGCTCGATTCCCAGGTCGGGTCGAGGAAATCTTTCGGTTAGAAAATTTTCTCGACTTTCCCTCCCCGGGCATACAGTATCATTGCGCTTGCCACATAATATACAAATTCATGCATAGGCTGAAATAAAGCTCTCGGTAACTGTGAAAGTGCAACACTAATTTGAGAGCCGGCAAAACGCTCGCTACAGAAGGGTAAAAAACCTAGATATCACTTCATGACAAACATGATGAAGTCCATTGGACCATATCACTCTGCTACAACAATAAGCTACATTTATTTTAACATGACTTTTTGTATTTTGCAGAAGATAACTACTATGGCAGTGGGTCCGGTGGTGGCAGTGGATTCGATGAGGAAGACGAAGCAGGATCCGGTCTAGGCCCATGGGATGTGGAGGAACGTCACAGGTCGGGCATGCCGGATTACCCGATCGGTGTTTCGAAAAGTGATATCAGTGGTAGCAATAGTGGTAACAATGAAATTGACTATACCAGCCACCAAAATGTACCCGGTGTGGAAGGTGGTAGTAGTAGTAGTGGAGGCACGTCCTCTACCACTGGCAGTGGTAGCTCGCGGGCTCCACCTATTTCCATAACGCGGGCGCTGCTGCAGTTCTTCTTGCCACTTGTGATCGCGTGGTTTGGTGGACTCTTCGCCGATTTGCTGTGATTTGATCAATAAGTAGCTGTGTAATGTGTATATTTTTAACCCTATTGGTTTTTAACTTATACCGACCATCCAAATTGATTGTATGATAGGCGGAATGTGAGATTAGATTCTGCTATGTGCTATGCAAAATTGTAAATGCATATCTAAAAGAACAGATGTGAATATATATTTATAGGTAGTCTCTTTTCTAATTTTCAATACATGTGTTTGTTACTGTACACTTTTTAATGTGATGAGATTTGGTTTGGGCAGCTGAATAGTGCATTTCCAGTCAACCTGTAATACGTAACAAATCTCCTTGATGCTTTCCTTGATTTCAATACTGAGTGTGAACGTTCAATTGATGTAGTATACATGTTTGTGTTTTGTTTACCTTTCTAATAATTAGGTAATTTGTTTTGCGTTACAATTACTGTATCTCAATAGTTAAGAAAGTTAAACAGATGAGGAGTTTTAGTTTTTACCCAAAAATTATTATTTTTTACAGTCGGTTAATTTGAATAAAAAACTTCAAAACTCAAAGATAGGAATCACAAGCTGAAGACACTCTTAATATTATTTAACGCGATCAATATCTTATCTCATGCAATATTTTCTTTTACAAAACACTCCTCCTACATCTCATTGACTTCATACTGATTCAATAGGCTGAAAGTAACATATCAAATAAAATAGTTCTAAACCTGTGCGGTCATCCCAGTGTTCGAAAAAATATCCAATAACCACTTGTGCCAGGGTACTTAATTACATTCTATACTGTCACTATTCACATAACAGCTCCATGTCCTATGGATTTCCTATCTATATGGGACTGTTATGCAAATAGCGACAGTATAGTAGATCGAGAAGAGTGTGTTGTCGTTTAATTGCATTTTTGCACACCGCCATTCTCTGACGCCATTCCTTCTATGCTTCATTTGTGTTCTGATAATATTTGCCACAACGCGAAGGAAGAGGTAACATGCGATTTCATTATTAATATATTTAGGCCTTATTATTACTCTAGTCAAATTATAAATAGTTTTGACCTTCTTCCTTCGCTGAATAAGATCGGCAATATAGATCAAATTCTGTGTTCCGGCAAACAGAGGAATTTCTACAGTACCACTGCTGTGCCTATGTTCTACAGTATCTAATGACGTACCAATTCCATATGACTGCCCTTAAACACTTACTTTGCCAACATAAAACCACTAAGTAACGCTTTACGTACAGTTAACGACCTTGTAAATATTAAGTTGTAGAACATTTAGATAGTGTATCAAAATAGATGCGATGAGGTGAATGCAAATTGGAAAGGATCCGCACATGTTAGGTATATTTATTAACTTTTCCAAACTAAATTAAATAATTTAACTTATGTAGTGAAATATGTTTAACTAGCGCTAGATATCTCTCCGAAGGAAGTAAAAAATATACGATCGACCGAACATAAGCAATTAAGCGCTAACATTGCTCTGCCGACTTATTAAATCTCAAAACGCAAAAAAGCAGTGCTACTTTCAGATAGAAAACAAAAATGAATCTGTTGCACGTCATCTCCTTGCAATGCGTTATTGAATACAGGGGTTCTAGAAGTTTAAGATAGAATGTTTATGCGCACAAAACTGATGAAAGGAAACGCATAACAGCCCAGCCATAGGCTGTATACAGGCAGCAGAAACAGTAATTGTGAAAAGGATAACAATAATCTACTTACGAAACCCTACTCTGAATAATTGTGTTGTCATGCGAACGGTGACACAACACAGATGATCGTTCTTTTAGTGTAGCTTCCTTGAAACCTAACTAACAAGCATCAATCATTTAACAATATAATTCGACGAAAATGTAAAGCACATGTCGATAACACATAGCATTTGACTATTGTCCCGAAGCATTTCTACATTTTGATGTCCATTAATGAAAGCAAATGGCATGGTGATACCTAACTTAGAGTATATAATTTAAACTGAAGAGTATTGACTATATGGAAGTATATACGATGAAAGAAAAATAAATAAATAGCAGAACAATTTGTAAAAAATATATCTCTGTTCCTTGCGTTGTAAAATGTCACATTCCCCTAAGAAGTTTACCTGGGCATACTTGTAAGCAGTTGGAGGCGGCGGGTTGGATTCTCGGCGAAGCCTATAGAGATTCACGCAGAGAAATGCTTTTTAAATTCAAATGGATATATTTTTTGCTCAGGGCCTAATATATTTTTGGTATTGATTCAAATATATTATTCGGTTAATTCAAAGAAAAATATTTTTGAATCAACAAACCGGTTGTAGAGTCAATACTCTGTTTGTTGATTCTAAAAACCATTTTGTTGATTCAAAAATATGTTTTGTTGAAATAGTGATACAATATGTTTGATTCAATAACAAAATACATTATACCCCGGACAGACTAGGACTTATATCATGTAATATAGGCTGTCTTGCAATGAACACTCATACATCTAGTTTTCACTGGAAATCCAATGTATGAGTGCTCATTGCAAGACAGCCTATATTACATGATATAAGCCATAGTCTGTCCAGGGTATTAGGCCCTGAAACAAAAATCCATTTTTCTGCGTGTTGCTGACGTTTATCATAGTGGAAAATTTTCCCGATGAAAACAAATCACTGACACAATCATACTTTATACCCCGTACAGACTATGGCTTATATCATGTAATATAGGCTGTCTTGCAATGAGCACTCATACATCTAGTTTTCACTGGAAATCATATGTATGAGTGCTCATTGCAAGACAGCCTATATTACATGATATGAGCCATGGTCTGTACGGGGTATTATACCCCGTTCACATTACAGCCTATATCACGTAATATAGGCTGTCTTGCAATGAACACTCATACATAGGATTTCCAGTGAAAACTAGATGTATGAGTGCTCATTGCAAGACAGCGTATATCACCTGATATACGCTGTAATGTGAACGGGGTATTAGCTATCTCTATTCTGCGCGGCGTGTGAGGTGAGGTGACTCGCTGTCACTAGGGAAGTGGCAATTGTCACCTTAGGTGAGGTGACTTTCAATTTGATTAGCACGGAGACTCACCTCACCCGAGGTGACAATTGTCACTTCACCATCACTTTACTGTCAGCTAATCTCACACGTCACGCAGAATAGGCCTCAAAATTCGTATACACAATTCAGATTTCCCCTGCACATTAAATGTTGTTATTAATGCATACAAAATTAAGGGAAAGTTGGGCAATTTCACCATATGAGCAATATGACCTATATACACTGGAGTCGCTTTTTACGCGGGGGATACGTGCCGCGTAAAAAAAAAACCGCGTAAAAAAAATACCGAGATTTTGATTTTTCACATGCTTAAATATTTTTTAAAAATTTGATTTTGATGCCATTCGTAATAATAGTATGCTATGGTCCATATAGACATATTTTAAAAATTTCTGTATTTACACCAAAAATTGTGATTTTTTTTTTTAAGTATGCCATTCAATTACCTATACTTTAAAACGGATAATGTGATTGGAATCAAGTCTATAGGTTGTATCGTTGTCGAGAAATCGTTCAAAACGTACCGCGTAAATTGCGACTCAGCGGCACTAACCGTGTAAAAAAAACCGTGTAAAAAAACCGCGTAAAAAAAGGCTTCAGTGTACACTCATAGTAATAGCAAAGATGAATACTAAGATGAAACTGTCGGAAGAAAAACTTTCATTTTTAGTGTCCTCTTTCACGGTCCCTTTCATCCAATGAATACCCCCAGTATGCAAGGTAATTTTGTGGTGTTGCTGCCCCCTCGGTAGAGATAAAATTTTGCACGCTTTTTTTTATCAAAACAATCACACCAAAATCAGAGATGTCCCATTTTTTAATTACTCGATTAACAACTAATCGATTATTTTTTGTTCGCTGAGCAGTCATTTTTTCATCAATGAGAGTGCAAAACTTGTTTGAAACGTTCGGTGATGATCCTGTGCAGAAGTTAATGCTTATATCGGCATGATATAACCGATTACAAATATTTTACTGTTCGGTTCGTTAATCGACTAATCGATTATCCGAATGAAAAGGCCATCACTAGATGAATGTTAAACGTCATTTCAAATATAAGGACCGTGTTGGCCACACTGGCCTCAGCGCACCTACCGTTGGTGCCTACGTGGATCAGCACATCCCTGCAGCGGGTTCAGCAGCGAAATGACAAGCGGAGTGACAGGTATCAATCTGTCACACCGGGTGAGTAGGAAAACACATAAAACCCGGACAATCGACAGCCATTCTATCCCTAATTAGTTCAGTGCTATTTAATTAAAATTCTAATATAGTTTAAATACCTAAATCTAGTGTTACTCACCGAAGAAACTTGTAAGTTCTTTTTGCATTAAGATTACTGTGAATTAAGAATATTTTGCGTGTAAATAGGTAATCCACAACTCTGTGCAATTGAATCGCAGCTAATTAACTGTCTCACCAGACAACAGAATCGGTGAGAATGATGAATTGCTAACGGAAGCTTACAAATACTTAATCTACACAGCAAAAAAAGTTGTTGAATATTACATCGAAACTGATGCAACCAGGTCAATCCATCGGTTGTGTAATATCACATTGTACGATGTACATCGATTTTGCGAACAAAATTACATCCATTGATGTAATATTGTATCTGCTTTTTGCTATTACATCATTATTTCATACATCAGCTTGAATTACGTTGATCGATATTACATTTTTTTTTGCTGTGTAATGCAACTTACCTAGGACTTACAGCTAAAACTTACGTGCTAGGCTAAACCTAAATCCTGGAATACTCCAAGGGGAACTAAACGTGAGTACTTCTTATCTAAACTTACATCTAGGCCGAACAAAAATAGTTGAGAACGATCAACAATGTTATACAAACATACATCCATATATATAAACTACAGATATGAACCAAATTTACATTCTACACATGAAGTACACTGAAATCTATAACGATTTATTGCCAATATTTAGCAAACTTAGATATATATATATACATAATTACTAATTATATCTGAAATTATTGTTATTTGCTAGGAAAATTATATTCTCACATCAAGTAACACCAATCGGATCGTGCGTTTTATTCGTTTCCGGCCTAAGTAGTGAGAATCATAATTTTGGAAACTTCCCGTTGAAATCGATTTTCAACAAAATATAATTTTCGTTTATTGAAACGGTACGGTCGGTGCAAGTCAAATGTCGCGAAGTGATGGTAAATCCGATTCGAAGAGCACTCGTAGAAATGGTGTGAACAGTGAAGATAATGCTGCTGGTGGTGATGGTGGTGGTAATACGGAAGTGGTGATATTGGAGGAAACCGTGGAAGGACATACCTGTAGAGCTTGTCAAGGTCCTGACACCGAAGAGATGGTTCAGTGCGACGTATGTGATCGATGGCACCACTTTTCCTGTGTAGGCGTATCGGAGGAAGTTGCCGACAAGAGCTGGAGTTGTACTAACTGCGTGACTGCGAAATGGGTCCAGCGAACTAAGGCAGCTTCGGACGGAGCACCAATAAAGGAAGACGTCATCCAGAATCGGAGATCGCTGCAAGACCTAAGCATCGGAAAAATCGTGACAAGCACCCGTGGCAATCCAGTAATTCCTTCAGCTACAACATCACAAAAGTCAGCTAAGTCGCTGACAGTTCCGTTGACCAGCCATCATCCAGCACCTCTGGTTCCAGTACCCGATCAGAAGCAGCAGACTTCGACACAT